CTCGCATCAGAAAAAATGGATGAAAAGTGTAATGAGTTGGCTAGTGGAGCGAATCGTAAGAATTCAGTAAGTGGCTATAATTCCCCATCATCCACTTATCTTTTTGCCAGAATATGGCCACATATCTGTCTAATTTTGGCATTTAAATTAGTTTCAGCAAACAGCACAGAAAATAGCTGAACTATGGAATATTCATTATTAATTATTCATGAATTATTCTAAAAAAAGAGAAAGCCAAACATCCATTTCTATATACATATGTGAATGTAAATGATAGCTGCTGATATGTAATATAATGCAGTGCCGGTGAAAAATAAGGCAATCATTTAATTTTCCTTTTGCCATAGAATAAAAACAAGTTTGCGTAGAATAAACGGAAAAAGCTAATGTCTAAAATTTAATATTCAAAAGACGTGATGGCAGAACAAAATTAAAAATGAAAAAAAATGCATTATGGAACCAATCTAAGTTTTGTTTTAATCACCCATCCATCATTGTGCAGCAATTCTTATTCGATTAATGGCTACGTTGACCTTTTCAGTCAAAAAAATCTGACAATGTAAAAACGTTCGTTTCATATTGAAACAATTCATTTTTGTAACAAATATTTAGATCGATTAAATTGATTGTGGTCGATTTAACTGGAAAATCTGTAAGAGGAATTAAAGCCTTGGTAGCTAAGTCATTGCAGCACTTATTGTATTAAAAAAAAAGTTTATTTGGAATTAACAGATATTCGAAGTGGTGGTGGAGACTCACTTGTGTTTCTATTCTGAAATCTCTCTGAAGACTCTCTACCAAATAATTTTCATAGCCAGTCAAACCAGAAATGGTGCATAATGTTGCTTATAGCAAATAAATAAAATAAAATAAAATTAGAAGAAAAAATAAATGCGCCGTTTATTTTTTAAAAGTTAAAGTCATGATTTGCAGGCAGATTAAATTGTTAATTTAAATTGTTAAATTTGGAATTTTAAAATTGAATTTAGTAGAATAAAATTTGATATAGAGTAAGCAAATATATGCGTTCTAACCAATAGATATCAGGATTATTTTATTAAACATGGAGCGAGTGTGAAGTTGATATTTTATTTTATAAAGGTCAACAACCTTCGTTCCATGTAAATACAAAATTATTTTTTTTTGTAAATTATAGTTAAAAAAAAGAAAATAATTCACAAGACAATATTTTTTGGATTTCATGCAGAAATCAAAATGCAATAGAATAAAAGATTCAGAGAATCTATCTTTTTCTAACTGCAATAAATATTTCAGGCTTGGCTGCCTTCTTCTAGGGAATAAGATTTTTTCGCCAAAGAACCGTTTAGCGATAGAAATACAGGTTCGCGTTCAACTGTTTTTTTATTAAGCATATAGCACAAGTTTAAGTGGATAAAAAGATGCCATTTGTTTCAAATAATCTATCTTTCATGAATAATATTATTCCATCTGGCAGACGCATTGTCGGGCGACAGTGTCAGTAAAAAGCGAAAGCAAAAAGGTGTAAAATTAGTAGGTTGCTGCTCAATCTTACATTGAGTTCTAAACTCAGCGGAAGTAAACCTGTCTATTAGAAAAAAAATATTTAAATTCATAAACCAGTAGTACTCGGATTTTTCAATGGTGGACTTATTCCTGTCGAGGATAGAAATTTTCGAACTTTTGCTTTTCAGTAAGTAATATGATTACTTTTTAATCAACTACCTTCATGCTCCTCGAATAAAACCACTTAGGTTCATAATAATTTCAACAAAATTTCATGGAAAAACGAAAAATTCGAAATCTACGAATTCGAAATGAAAATTCATTTTTTAAATTTTTTAAATTAAATTTTTAAAACCAAAGCGAAGATTATTTAGCTGAAAAAATTTTTCTCAAAAAATTATTAAATATACTCATAAAATTTGTAAAATGATTCGACACACAAAAGGTTATTAATTGTACAGAATTCGAACATCTGTTGACGACGATAGTTGCAGCCAAATTTAAAATGTGTCAAATATTCTTATTTGTATTACGTAATTAATGCAGCAATGCCGTGGGAGTAATGAAATTATTTGCCATTCTTATGAACTAAAATTATTTTCAAGTGAAATTTCGTAAAATAAGCTGGAAAAAAAATTCAGAGCCCTTCTTTCCAAGTCCATAAAAGTGAAAAAAAATTTGCTGTTGAAATGTATAATAATACATATAAAAATACATTTTTTTCCATATATAATCTAAATCCATGAATGGCGCATTGGTACCTGAGTGGCGAGGTGAATGCTACCCAGAATCAAGGTTTGGGTTTGAATTCGGCTGACGCACTACAGTTCGTCGGGCGGGAGTGTCGCTAATGAGAGTAAGTAGAATGGCTTAGTACTGATGTTGCGATTCTACTCCCGGCAAGAATAAACATGCCCCTCAAAAAATCCGGGCGGTGTTGGTGATTAATTCAGGATTTCTTAGCATATTCGTCTGGTCAGTGGAGCGAGTCTAATCAGTAGTGAGTGCCCTAAAAACAAAAAAAAATTCTTTCAATTTTTTTCTTTATCCATACCATAAATTTGCATATTATGTGATCAGAAGGCATGGAAATGTTTTAATTTAGTTGCAAGTCACCAGCCAAGCTAACAACGCCTCTTAGAGGAAGTCAATAGATTAATGAAATTAAAAATTTTCTTTCAAAATTACTAAAAAACAATAATCTTCATATGCTTTGGAGATTTGAAGAAAATTGACTTCGATTCGAAAAAACGATTCTTAATTTTTGTCTTTAATTTCATCTTTGATTATATAATAATGAAACCGTTTGGTCTATAAGTTATTTAAATATATATAAAGTTCTTAAAATAATAGGGTTATTTTCCTAACCCACTTTATTTCCCAAATAATTCTCTGGCAAAAGGATCTCATTAACGAGATAATATTTCTAATTTTAGCCACTATAATCAAGCAAACCAGGAATAATAAAGGTCAAAAGGTGAACCAATTACATCCCATAAATTTTATATTTATATAACCTGCCGGTGAAATATCATTCTATGAAAAAATTAAAGATTCTTGTGATTCTTGTCTTCAGTAAGTAGTAGAATAAATCTCATAAAAAATACGCTTATAAACAAGTGATAATAAAAAAATTATTTGATGAAAATTGTGTTGTTTTCAAGTAATTAAAGCAATTTTAAAGTAATTTTTTATTTACACTTCTATTTCCCAAATGATTCTTAGGCGAATGATCCAAATTATGGTATTAGAGTCCTGTAAGAGCTTCAAGCTGTACATATTGTATACATATATACATATTCGAGCATACATATATTTATATTTACAAAAATTTTAACAAATAAACTTTTAAAAAAACGATATCATTATACAAAACCTGTATAAGACTTACCAGTGGCATATATTTAATAATTTAATTTAACAACAGAAGGCAATGTTTGGCACCACTGCATAGTTATAATAATATAATATAATAATTACATTATTGTCACCAAACAGACAAAGTTATATATTGGCTTTCCCAAAAATATTGTTTTTTTTTCCTGAGGCGAATTTCCAGTGGTGATTTTTTACAAGAAAACCAAGCACAAGTCAGTTTAGCGTGACATTATGTGACATTATAATAAGAACTTGTGGCCCAGTAATGGACATCTGAGGAATATTTGCGAGTTTGAATGCATGCTTTATGAATTTAATTAAGTAATGTAGATAATGTACAACAATAAATAAAATAAATGAATCGGAAGTGTAGATATCCGAAAGCAGTATTTGGTGGGCATAAAGGGTGTTCTTCGAAATTTGGAAACAATATTTTCAATTTCAATTTATCGGACACCAAAGGGTAAGCCTTCAAAAGTTGATGAAAATTTTCTATGTTCCATAATCGAAGCGAGTCCAAAATAAACAATGCGTGAAATCGATGAGAAAAAAGGTTATACCAGTTAGACAATTATCTATATGCCATGGGAAAATTAAATAAAATCATTCTAGAGAAAGATCATCACTTTCTATAACCGAAGAATCAAGGAAAAAACCATTTGGACAGAACTGTTACTGACGACAAAAAGTAATTCGATAACCCTAACCATAAGCGTCAATAGGCGGAAGAAATATCAGCAACAACTGCTGAACTCGATATTTATACCAGAAAAGGACTATCGAGTGTGATGAGGAGCAATTTAATGCGAGTTGCTCAAACCCTAAAGTATCACTTCTATGATGAATTTTGAAGGCCAAATTTCATCGAAATTGCCTGTAATAACAATAACTAAAGAAGTGTAATCCAGTAACATTAAAATGCGATACCTAAAAAAATAAAATATACGCAAAAAAATTAGGTTAGAGAATAAGGTTAATGGAAAATCCCACGTCATCCCACGTCCTTATAGCCCTGATTTTGCTCCTTCTGATTAAAGTTTCAGCAATAGCGTTTAGCTTTAAAAAATTTATTTCTTTTGAGGATGTAAAAAATAACCTTGAAGAACATTTCAAGCCAAGGGAATAAGGTTCTACAAAAAAGTAAATCATGAATTGGTCCTTAAATGGGATAGAGTATAAAAAGATGATAAATATAAAATTGACTAATATTAATATTGACTAATGTTTAGATACTTTTGTTCATATTTTCGATAAAAATATTTTTGAGAAAAACCTATATTTTTTATGCCTCGGAATTGCTATGTATTGATTGATCTTCCAAACTCTTAAAATTTCAGCAAGAGCAAGAGTTATATTATCAGTTTAGGTAATCCTGCCCTCGACAGAAGTATTATATCATTATTATCATTAAAAAATATGAGTGCTGGCGACTTAACTGCACTTTTGTCGTCAAATAACTTCCTATCAGCAGAACAACCCTTTAATCAAATTAATTAATTGATATAATTTACATTGTTTGGAATTACTTTTGAAAGCAATTATTGTGAATTTAAAATATATCTAACAAAATTAAATTCATATATTTGTTGGGAATGACTATTGATACAAAGCTTTCCCAACAGCCAGTTGAAAAAATTTTAAAAATTATCTTCCCAATCAGACATTTCATAGTCACTTTCCATGCCAAGGCTAGATAACGGTATTGGTCGTACAAGATCGCCTTTAATTATTCGAACTTCTCGTTTATTTGATTTAGAATAAACATAAGGTGAATGCATTGGTGATGCCATTCGGCCCAACATTTCTTGATTATTCAAACTTTCTTTTATATAAAATATTTGAACCCCTAAAAATGCATTTCTCAATTATGAATTTTCTTTAAAATGATTAAAATTTTTTCGAGCAGTCATTTTTTAAAATCTTATTCACGAACAAATTTCTTTACTCATCCATTCTTGGTAAGTAAAATATTTGGCCGTTGGAATATTTTGAAGAAAATGATCACCTGCATAGTACCGCCGGTCTATTTTCGAAATATTTTCAATCATTGATCTCCGGACTGTTTCTTGAATTGCGAATATTGTTAAATTTCGAAACTGAAGTGAAATATTCGAATTTTTCCTTTCACTTTGAGCGGTCGTTTGACTGGTGATTGAACCATTTGATGCACAAGAACTTCTACGATGAACGCTACAATCATCATTCGTTCCACTTGCGATACCTTCAAATAAAAAATACAAATCCAGAAAATTTTTGCATGCACCAGCATTAAATTAAACAGTTGATGAAGCACACAGAAAATTCTCTATTATATTATATTTTATTCTCTATATTATATTATATTTTTCTCTATTATATTTTAACTATTAACTATTATATGATGAACTGGAGCCCATGCATGTTTGTCGAGAACTTAGCCAAGAAGTTTTTCTTGAAACAGACTTATATTCCAATTGCGGCTGGCCAAGTTGCGCAAAATTTGGTATGCGATTTTTGTTGTGGTGAATCCTGCAATTTAATGATTTAATGACAAATTAAGTAGTTATACTATATATAATCCAAAAAATATTCTGATGGAGAACTGAAATTAAAATGGTCATGATATTATCAATAGAATTAATAATCAGTGATTAATTACAAAAGAATTGATAGAATTAGTGAATAATTAATGGAAATGCTATCGATGATAACGAAATTCGCTCCAACAAATCATTTCTCTTCAAAATTCAAGAAATTGGATGAAAAATAAAAAGTGTCACTAAAATTAAGATTTTGATTAAGCGAGGCTCATCTGTACTTCAGTTTCTAAATGACGAAGGGATCTCATCCTACAGAATCAAATTAAATGGCTCTTGAAAGGAGAAGAAAATTCAAGAATTAACCAGAAAAATTGCAAAAAACTCTATGAAGAAATAGCAGGAGAAATTGAAATTTCTTTAAATTTAAATTGGATAGATTTAATAAAAACAAATCATAATATAAATTCTTTAATACATTAATTTTTCAACTTTTAAAAGCTCATTTCAAACAAATTTATCCAAAAATTCATATACAACAAAAGTATTAGAGTAAGTTACCTGAGAAGTCGAATATTTTGAGGCAACTGGAACTCAATGTACTGGAATAATGAGGCTGAATTGTAATGCCGAAAACCTAATGATATTAAAGGTAATGTCTGGAATAATCTTTGAATCCTTTTGTCGATTTCTACTGAATCACCCAGATGAAATACATATGGAGGTATATCGATATCTTCTAATTTCTGAAAAAAAGCATTTTATGATAAAAGAAGGGTATTAAAGCAGAACCGAAATTGAAGAGGAAACTATCAATCATTTTCAGTGGGTTATTCTTTGGTTAGGCTAGCTTCGCTTAATCAATTGCCATTAGTTTGATCCTAACGCTATCTTTTTTGTCTTATGGGCGATAATAATGCACTGTTGAAAATAATCGCATGAAAGATTTCGCTATTAAGAATGTTAGCTTGGATTAGCAGCAGTATCAAACCTCCAATTTCTCGAGAGCTCTAATATAACGATCACGCCTTGAATTTTTCCCATAAGTGCAACCGATTGCCAATCTTTTCAATGAACCACTTAATTTATTACACAATGCGTCAAATGTGCGCCATGATATATATAAACCTGAAATTGAATGCATCATTTCAATTTTTGAGCAATGTTAATCTGGTTATAAAGGTACAATTCTTTAGGCCAATTTTTATATTAATATCATGAAAACAAAAACTCGGAATATTTTTGTGAATTTCTTCTTCGAACAGCACCTTTGGTTGATTTCAATGGCTGTTAGGATAAGATCTCTTTGCCACAGAAACATTTGGAGATCGAAATATAACAGACCTCCATTATCATCTGGGTTTTATTTCTAAAGACAAGTTTGCTCACATCAATGAACAGGATGCGAACTTAAAATTACTTGAGTCTCAACAAGTCTCAAGAACATAACGCTCGATCATTCTACGCTCTAAGCGAAATTATTCGCCTTGAATTGTTCCATCATCTAACGAAATATTGAATTCCTTACTGAAATGGGAACATTAGTACTGATGGACGTTATATCATCGCTCCAGTTCTTTGTAAGGACTTAGAAATGGCGGTGGAAATGGCAATAGCCAATTGAAGAACGTACCAGTCAGTTGAAAATTAGCCACAGGTCCTTTAATATATTCAACTATAGATCGTGGAAAGGCAACTTTGTAAGAAACATTGATTTGATCGCAAGAATCCAGAATAAATATCGTTGATAGATTTGGTCGTGAAAATAAAGTATTGAGAAGACGTTTAGCTGGACTATAAATTTTAGATTTTTTGAATTTTAAAGTCTATTTTAAATTTTGAAATTAAAAAAATTTTTTCAAAATTCAAAGTTAAATTTGAATTGAATTACTACCTTTTTTTATCAAAATACTTCGAGCTATTCCAAATCCTCAATGTTTTCAGAGTATTTAAGCAACACAACACACCGTTAAATTCTTCACCCAGTGCACAATCCCAAATAGTAATCTCCACTAGCGATGTAAGTCTGTAATTGATAATACGTCATCCATAAAATAGTAGATTTTTAAGTTTTCGCTTAAAACAATTTTGAACTTGAAATTTTTTTTGCCACTTGAGAATAGAAATGCAAGTATATTTCTGGCCGAAACCGTTGGCAATAATCTTGCCAATTAGCCATCAACTCACCAATGAAATCGTAGTGCATAACTCTGTCATATCGATTTGATATGTTTTCATTTTCATTTTCGATATTTAGAATCAAGAATCAATAGGTAATACCTTAGGAACATAACTTCCATTGACTTATTCCCAAATTTTTCAATTGTATTTCTCAAGCGAAACACTTTACCGTCTTTATTAATAAGCTTTATATGATAGAGTATTTTTGAAGTAACACTCGAAGAAACTAATTGAAAAGGACGTTTTTGTTGAAAATCTCCTAAAACATTTACAGTTTTAAAATATTTACAATTTATGAAAAAATCGGTTATAATTGAATTAAATTAATTGGATTTTTCATATAAAATTCTCTTTTCTATTTTCATGATGCTAAAAGCATTTCATGACATTTTTTCTTAATAAAGCCCATGTAATACCATAATTCTTTCTGTAAATTCCATTAAAAAATCATGTAAATCTGTTGCTTCAGTAAAATCATATGGATGATAATCGATTGATATATTTTAACAGTTATTCTCTCTTTTTTTGTTAACCTGCGTGGAATAAATGACTATGGCTCAAAATTCTATTGAAAAATTCTAAAAAATTTTTTTTTCGCGAGATGAAATTATTTCCATTTATTTTGAAACAATTTGTTCAAGTTCAAGATGGTTATTTCTATGCAAATAATAATATACCGTATGTATAGACGTCAGATCGAACATCTATGGCAATAATATCATTCCATGCAAGATTGGAATCTTGAAAACGTTTACATGAAATTTGCATCTTTAAGCGATCGATGGGTGACAGAAATCCCATAATACGATTTAGTATCGCATCGGATAGATTATTCATTTCAGACGAGAATGAATCAGAATTCTCGTCATCCGGTTAAGAAACTGAAAAAAAAGAATAAGTGAATAAAGTTCATCAACTGTTCACTGTTAGGTTGAATGATTTCTGAAACATTGACAAAAATATTTGTTTGTTATTATTCTGCAAAAAAAAAGGAAAAAAATTTCAACGCATATCGAGATATTTTCACTTTGCTTATTAATAATCATCATTTTACATGGAAGATCATACTGATAAAGTTTATAACCACTCAAAAAGTGCTTAAAAAAGAGTAGTATAAGTCATAAAAATAGAACGAGTTTTTTCTGCCTTTCATTTCAACAGATTTATTTTTTATCAATCAACTGCTTTTTTTGGCCATTTAGACCAATGCATTTTTTTTAATTACATAAATTAATTGTGAAAATAAAAATTAGGAAATTTTGAAAATATTTAAAAAATCAAGCATTAAAAACATATTTTCAAATAAATTCCAGTTATAATCGGAATTTATTTAAAAAAAAAAAAGCTATAAGCTTTTATTTATTAATTCATCATTTCTAGACCATTATGCTGTTAGGAGAAAATGAGATTCCTTCACCAGGGAATCACTTACAATATAAGTAATCACTTACAATATACAATATAAGTAAACCTATAAATATAAACCACTATAAATGTAAACCACTTACTCTGCTTTAAAAAAACCTAAAAACCTAATCGAAACATAAAAATAATTGAGATATTTCAGATAACTCAGATGAAAAAAACTCGACTGATTTATAAAAAGAAAATTATGCGATTAATTAAACCATGCAAAATTCTCATTTTCTGTTGTTCCAAAACTTTACATGTGCACTTAGTTTATGTCAAATGCATAAGCGAAATTCTCATCGATTTGTGCAAAAAATTTTCGATAAACATGGACTATGAACCTTTATATTTTCTAACCTCGAGGAAAGTTTTGTGAAAAAATTATACCTCAACGGATCTACTTCACTACTCAGTGATCTCTAAATGAAAAGCTTCTCCAAGGATATTAGAGGCATAGATAAAAATCCACGGTTCATTTAGGAACATCAAAATAATCAATTAAATTGGTGCAACGAAGTTTTTTTGATTGCACCACGTTTCTGGTTATTCTCATTCAATTGTAGCGATAGAATTATGGGTGATTCTGTAGTATTCGAATTTTTTAATGATACATTTGCTCTTAGTGAGAGGTTAAGCCATGGTGCTTGAAATGATAATAATACAATATTGCGTCTGATGGAATAAAAAATAGTAGAGAAATAGAATTAAAAAATAGAAATTATAGAAATGAAAAAATTGCAATGCAAAAATTTGTCTGCAAATTAACTAAAAACATCGCAAATAATTTTTTGTTTTGATTGACAAATTGACAAATTTATTTTATGAAATTTTTAAATTAAATTTATTGAAAGACAAATTAGATTGTATTTTTTAAAATTTTTTTCATTCTTTTATTGAGAATTCCTTAAAATTTTTAAAAATTCTTCAAAAAAATTCTCATATTGTTTTGCATTACTGTCATTATATTTTGCAGTTAATGGATTTTTTTTTTGTATTTAATAAAATTTTAAAAAAAGTTAGTAGGCAGTTGGTTTGCTCCACTAACTACTATTAGAAATTTTTGCCAGAGAGTATCACTTGGGAATGAAATTAATTCCCAGCGATCCTTCAACAAACAAGGGCTGAATTTCGAGATGGTAATCCAAGAAATAACCTCTTGGCTATCCTGGCTGTAAATTATGAAAATTGAAAATATTCAGCAAATTCAGCAAATCTCATTTTTTGTCATTTTTACCTAAATTGAAATTGCTAGAAATTGCTTCCTAGAAATTCTAGAAAAACATTAAAAATGATAAATATATAAAATTATATATATAACAAAGAACAAAGACTGACTGAACTAAAATATAAATAGCACTTTTCACAAATTCCAGATTAGTAAGTGAACGAAAAATATTAAATATTGATGCAGAATGGAAGATGTAAGAAAGATCTTTACATTGAGCACAAAATAATTTTGTAAAATATTGTAGAAAAAAACTGCTAATTTTTTCATTTGAGAAATTTTGAAAATTTAACTATTTTTCAAAGAAAATGGCAAATATTTACAGCAAATATATGCAATAGACACATATACAATAAATATTATATGGCAAAATTGCAGAGAAAAATTTTTTTAGGCGTCAAATAAGTGGATTATTTTCAACGGGCAAGTTGCGTTCTACGCTGTTCATATCTTTTAAAATTCCCTTACCGACGATGATGATGGCAACGACAATGGCGATGACAATGATGATAGGTATATTTCATTCCACTGGTAAACAAGTATGTTAGAAGAACAGTTCAGTATTGGTACAAATTTTGTTTAATTGTTTTTTTTAAATAATTTTTTTCATTGAAAGAATGTTGATAAGAATATTATTTATATTAATACTTTTCAATCATCTATATAATAAAAATAAAACAACTTTTTTAAAAAATTTTTGCTTTGAATATCTTTTTTTTGCTTAATTAATATTTGATTTTTTAAATGTTTATTGGCTGAAAAATATGCTAAATATTTTGAAAACTGCAAACAGTGTAAAATACTCACTTTAGTTCATTTGAAAGTTTCAAAACGTCGAAAAAGAATTGCAATTATTTTGCCAAAAATAAAATAAAATTTTCGAAAAATAATCCGCAAATTTAAGAAATAAATTATAAAGCAATATTTTTCTTGCTCTTTTACCGTAATAAGGTGGTAAAAAGATTTAAGCAAAGATAAAATAAATCAGCATATTTTAAAAAATGGTGATTTTTTAGTAAAACAGAAATTATCTTTTAGTAATTAATGAGTAATAATGTAAAGAGAAAAGTAATATATACAAAGATCAATACGATTTGTTTCGACATTATAAGCATTTTGCGAAACGAGAAACATTTATGAATTAGATAGACAACTAGTATTATTTTGATAAGCGAATGACGTTTACCGTTTATTTTTGCAAGATGTTTGAATTTTTGCTGCAAATTTCTAAATTTTCACGCTAATGATTTATAAACAGTTGATAATTTGCAGAAAAAGTAAAAAATGAAAAAGTCTGAAAATAAATTGATTTGTCATAGAATCGAACCAGTCTTTTGCAAAATAATATTATATTGTAGAAATCGGTCATTGTGATATGAAATTTTACTTATGAATAATTACATCAAAAAATCTGGGTGGTACTGGTGACCTACCTGTTCTTCTACTTCCCAAATGATTCTATAGTAAAAGGATATGAGCAAGGTAATTAGTGGATCTAAGTGAACTGCTGATTGCAAGCGGATCGGTGTTTATGCTTTCGTGAGCCTGTCCTTCTTAATTTCTCAAAGTTTTATTCGCAGAAATGAAAATAAAGCTTAACTGTATTTTATGAGATAAGAAAAAGGGAAATTTGTCCGCATTTTAAAAATTTTTTTCAAACAATCGCATTCAAATGAAATATCGCAATATGGAAATTTCGATCACAGAATTTTAACGAAAATTTTAGCGCTTAGTAAACTTATTAGTAAGCAAATAAAATGCGCACCTTATAATCACAATCAAAATTGCACCATTACGGATTATAATCTCCAAACTTTGACTTACTGAATAGCAGAGCGCGATAAACAAGGACGCGGAGGATGCAAGCTATTGATATTGGCTGAAAATATTATTTATATTGCGTGAAAATCGAAAAACTGAAAAAAATGCTAAGCAACAAATATAACATGTTTGATAAGGCTATATATCCTCCCGCAAAGATGAACTAATGAAGGAAGAATGCATATGCAAGGAAGTGAAACGTGAAAAAAATGGACCATAACAAGTGACGCGCAAAAAAATTATAGAAAAACAACGAAAAAAAGATTCCTGACAAAAAGTTTTAAATCACTAAGTTCACCAGTTATTCCGTTGAAGAATTGTTATTTATGTTGTCCTGGGTTTTTCTAAAAGAACTAGGAAATAAAAATTAAATTCGAATAACCAATATTATTGAATTCGATCCCCTAAATTTTCATTTTTTGCGTTTATTAAAATTTGCTTAAAAATTTTTCAAATAAATAATTAAATAACAATTTATTAGAAACAAGTAATAAATAAAAAAAAGTAAGTAACAAAGAAAAATAGAGAATATTGAAATATTTTCACCTAAATCAGAATGAATGAATGTGAAAACAAATTTTTCGTATGAATTTCATAAAGTACGTTGCATCCAATAGCGAAATTGATCTAATCATTTCGTTTATTATGAAAAGTACACATCTTAATAAATAATTCATTTCATCGAAATAAATAAAACAATCCAAAAGATGGATTTTACTTATAGAAATGTGCCAAGAATTTGGCTGAATTTGCCTATTACTAATGAGTTAATAAATTCCGCTTTTTTTTTAAAGAAAATATAGAGATTTTTTATATTTTTTTTTTGGCAAATTTTTTTTTGTCTTTGAACTAGGGAACAATATGATCGAGCAATACATCGCCTAAATTGCCATTTCAATCAATTTATCTCATACTTCTAATATCTCTGATAAGCGAATTTGTCACCAAGAAATCTGGATCATATTTGTGGAGTCACCTGTATCGTTGATAATTAAAAATAAATATCTTAATAAGCAACAATCATTTCTATTGTCTAGTACCAAAATTTTCGTGTCGAACTGATAGCTAGTGGAGTAAACCTGGTCAGAAAGGGCGAATGCTAATCGAGCCACTTTTATTATCTCTTAAAAGTTTGCAAAAGATAGAATTTGGTCGAAATTTCTTATCTTCTTCCATATTTTTTTATTAATTTTAGCTTAGAACTATTTATCCATCATATCCTTGAAGCTATTATGAATTGTAGAATTGCCAAATGAGAAAAAAAATAAAATTCGCTATTTCGATGCTCACCACAAGAGTTGGTACATATTTGTTGCTAAATCTTGTGTTGGTCAAAAGCGAGAAG